ATGTAATACTTTTTGATGTAATTAAGTATCATTTAATTTTACCTAAATTTTTTATTTCTTTAAAAAATTATTGAATTATATATAATAATAAATAAAGAAATACTTTCTCTCAATTACTTTTGATCTTCAATTTTTAATAGGATCATTTTGTCCTTCAAATTAAGACTTTTATTAAATAATTGTACATTACATTTCTATTATAGAATGACATTTTTTTTACTATTCTCAGAATTTTTTTTCTCTTATTTTTCATTTCATTGTAACACCATCTCTCATTATAGTTTGTTCCTAAATATATTATTATTTAAAAAAACAAATAAAAACACAAAGTATCTCAAATATATTGATATATAATAATAATTTAAATATTTTATTATTTATTATTTAAATTTTCTTAATTAATATTATATAAACTAAGGGAATGAGGTGTTTTGTATTTTTATAAGTTTATTCTAAAAAAATTCAAAAAAATAGAGATGATAAAATTAGATAACTTGTCTCTAGAGATTTAATAATTTAGACTTAGAGTAGTTATATATGAATATAATGATTTCAAAAGAGTGGAGATAAAAAAAAAAGTTACATAACCGATATCTCATTTGTATATAGGGGTGGGTATATGGACCGGTCCGTAAAACCTGCGTTTTATACGTGCCGGATAAGTCCGGTCCGTAAAATAAATGGACTTATTTTTTAAGTCCGTATCCGGCCTGCCAAAATCCGCGGATAACGGACCGGTCCGCGGGCCTAAATAATGGTTCAAAAAAATAAATTTTTAAAAAATAAAACATAAAATTAGAAGAAAAAAAATATTTTTTATTTATAAGCTAAATTTTATCATACTAAAATTTATCAATAGTTGAAATGGTTTAAAATACTAAATATTAAAATATTAAAATAAAAATAATTACAAATACTTAAATAATAGTACCAAACTTTCAATAATAAAAGCATCAAAATGTCATAAAAATAATTCAAATGACAAATAAATGACAAATACCTACTAACTAAACATAATTTTAATGTCATAATAATTTAAAAAATTAAATACACAACTTAATATTAAAATCATAATATTTAAAAATATTAATTAGTGAAGTCTGCGGACTAGTCCGCGAGCCCGCGGATTAAATCCGCTAAGTCTGCAGACTTCACGGGCCGGGCTAAAAAATTAGACATAATCATACGGATTTGAAAAAAACGGGTCTATTATCCGCGAAATCCGCGGACTTACGGACCGGTCCGCGGACCCGGGTCCGTCTACCCACCCCTATTTGTATATAGTATAAATATAAATTATTCATAGATCATTGAAATGAATTTTTATTAACTAAATAGTTATTAATTTTTTTTACAGTATAGTCGCAGATGTGTTTTGCTGCATTTTCATTGAAAAGGTTCACTTAGATTTAAAAAAATAGAAGAAAAAAAAAACAAAATAACAAAACAAAACAAAACAAAGGAAGAACTGAAAAAAAAAGTGGCGTCGCCCGGACTCGAACCGGAGACCTTCAGTGTGTTAGACTGACGTGATAACCAACTACACCACGACACCAATATTTCACGGTTGTTGATGAATTTGTAAAACTTATTTTAATATATGTATCAATTTATTTATTGCTGAATTAAGGCATTTCAATTTCTTCTTTTCTGAATGCCACGGACGAAAGTATTTTGATTTTCAGTTTTCATTGTATTTTTAAGGAGAAAACCAAATAAACAATATAATAATATTTTTTTTTTTTTGTTAAAAAGCGTTTAATAAAAATATATAATATTAAAAACTTTTTGATGACGCCTACCTGTTATGAAAAGATTTAAAAATACATATTGCCTGACATTTTATACCGATTTGTTTGATGGTTCTACGCAGAGACAGCCTGTTCAAGTTGGATTCTTCATTCTTCCACCTTGGCTCTCACGCATATTTAAAATGCTGCACTTCCACGCTTTTGGAAAACAATTAACAACATGCATTCTTCAAAAGGAAGATCCACTTTGGCCAATAAAAAAGCAGCAATTAGGCACATACTAAAATAACAATACTAAATTAAACCGAAACTTTTAGAAATCATACTAGCATCCACTTGTTTATTTGTTTTTTTTTAATGTATATAGTAAATTTTCTTATATGGAGTCACAAAATTGTATATTTTAAAAAATTAAAGAGGTTAAAAACTAACAAGTTATTTCCAATGATAATTGACTTGACCCATATATCAAAAATGACTAATCAAGTTGGATCAATATAAAAATCGATAGATTTTTTTGTATTAATAATATATTTATAAAAAAATCAAATCTAAAAATCATTTCAAGAAAGAAGGTCCAAGTTATAGCAAGTAAGTATGAACCCAACCATTCAACAAAAACAAGTAATTACAACAGGTGGCGGTGTGAAGGAGTAAATGGCAATCAAGATTGAAGGTCTAAAAAAAAGTATAAAAAGAAAAAAAGAACATTCCAAAAAAGAAGGGTCCAATTTGAACCAAGAAAATAGGAACCTAACCATTGAATGAGAACGAGTAATTACAAAATGGTGGCGGTGGCCGGTGGCACGTTGTTGACCAATTCATTGCATTTTGGTACACACATAGTTACCCAATTCCTCGGGTAATTTGCATTAACCCCACAATCTTTGCATCACATTCACACTTATAAAGTGCCCCCATACACACACACATTCCTCAATCATACTTCAATTCAGCTTTTGCTCCGCATCCTTCTTGTTTCACAAGTTTCTTGGAAGCGGAGCACACCTCCCTCTCTCTCTTTGTTCTATTCTCTCATTCCTGCCTCTCTTCTCAACATGGCTGCCAACAGATGGTTGAAACCCGAGGTACGTCTAACATAGTTGATAGATAGTTGAGTTTCTTAAATATGTTGACAAAGATTTGATTTCTAATTTTGTTTATACAGTTGAATTTCTCATCATAGTTCACGAGTTTCTTAAATATGATGATAACAATTTGATTTCTAGTTTTACACATGTAGCTTAGTTTCTTAAATATGTCGACAAAGATTTGTTTTCTAGTTTTACGTATAAAAAAATCTTTTTATTGAAAGAAACAATGCTTAATTGGTGATCTCTGTGTTTGGAAAGGATTTAATCATGTTACAAATTAGTTTTGCATAAGAGAAAAACTTTGTCTATAACAAGGAAATATTAATGCAAAACAAACGAAAGCTTTGTTTAATATATGATGTGAATGTGATTATGTGATGATATGATATGATATGATCCTGAACTGGTTTTGTTTCTTGTTTGTGTGAATAGGTGTACCCACTTTTCGCTGCAGTTGGTGTAGCTGTTGGGATCTGTGGAATGCAACTCGTTAGGAATATAACCACAAATCCTGAAGTCAGGTATTAATCTTTCGTATATATTTCTTTTGGCTTAACTTTTTTTTTTGTCCAGATCCAATGTTTTCTCTATCAAAATACAATTTCTTATGTGAATTATTATGCATAGCTCTTCTTATTAATGATAATTGAATTTGATTTATGTTCTTAGGGTGACCAAACAGAACAGAACTGCAGGAATTCTTGAGAATTTTGCAGAGGGAGAGAAATATTCACAACATAGCTTGAGGAAGTATGTTCGCAACAAGCAACCTCAGATTATGCCATCCCTCAACAACTTCTTCTCTGACCCCAGAAACTAAAAAAAATGCAAAACTTTGTGATCCTGAGAATTGATTCCTTGGATTAATTTTTGGTTTTCCGACATTTTGAAAATTTGAGAAGTAGGACAAGGGAATTTTATTTTTCAGAAAAAAAAAATGTACTATGATTCTGTAATTTGTTGATGGGTGACATTCGATTTGTCTAATATAATAAAATTTTATATATTTTTACATTTAACATTGGTCTTCATCAGTTTTCTTTGATCCTGTTGATGGCATTTTCACACGTTGTATTGTATTCAAAAAAGGTTCTCTGTCTAGCCTCAGTTTTCTCAAACACGTATTGCTATAAAATACCATTGTATAAAATATTAAGTTGTATTCAAACAAAGTCCTCGGTCATGCATCAAAATTCAAAAGAAAAAAGTATTATAATATCAATGTTTTATATAAATACCAATGTTAATTATTATATTTCACTCATTTTTATTTTTATAAATAAATGCTATATTATAATTAATGAATATAATAAATGATATATAAGAAAATATGGTTATTCTAATTATATTTATAAAAAAGAATTATTGATAACATTAAACATTATAATAAAATTTTTGACTTTGTGTATTTTACTTTAATGATATACTTTTTTTAAGTAGAAATTACAATTACAATGATATAATTTGAATTTATATAGATTGATATGAGAATAAAAATATTTAATAAATGTATTATATTTATTATATTTCATAAACATATTATATTATGCCATATTAATCTCATATTTAATACGAATATCAATTTTAATTATATAATATTTATTAATATTTAAATTTATACTATATAAACAAAACTAATTAATTAATTCATTTTATAAATACTGTATATTTTTACAATAATACGTAATAAATACTACATTGTAAGTATTAAATACAATAAATATTGATATATAAGTAAAAAATACTTACTCGTATACTTATAAAAAAAATACTGATGACATTAAATATTATATTATTTTGTGAATTTTAATTTAATAAAATATTTTAAATGCATATAGGCTGGTATGAAAAGTGATACATTTAATAAATATATTGTATTTATTCAATTTCATAAATATATTATATTTAATAAATCTAATATTTTATAGTATTAACAATGTTAAACATATTGGTATAAAAAAACAATGTTAAATGTATGTAATATTTAATAAATGAATAAATAAATTGATACTTTAGGAAGAATAAATCATTTTTTTTGTAAATAATTAATTATAATTAATAAATGCAGTAAATAATAATATATAAGAAAAAATGTGCTTATTCATATATTTATAAAATATTTAATCAATAATATTTAATATTATATTAATTTTTGTGTCTTTATGTTTTTTATTTTAATAATATTTTCTAATCTACCGTATAAATTAGCATGTAAAGTAATATATTATTCAATAAATATATTATATTTATCAAATTTAATAATTTTATAGCATTACTAAAGTTAAGTATATGTGATATTTACTAAATGTTGTTTTTCTAACACAAACCTCCCGAAGTTCTTGATCTAAATGTTGTTTTTAGAGAATCAAATTTGTCCTTACCGGACTTGAAACAAGATTGGATTCTTAAAAAAATAAAAATAAATAAAAACTTTCAAATATTCGTCTTAAATTCTTTAGAGCATTTATTGCATATATCTATATTCATTAACAAAAAAAATATATTGTTTCACGTCATTTATTTTAAAAATGTGATAATATTTTTATAAATTATACAAATTTTATTGCATCAGTTGTATAACGATTGACGGTCTAATTTTAATCTTTTTTAGTTAGATAAGGGTATAATCATATTCATTCATTATAAATTTTTTCTTGTTGTATGGTTTAGGATAAGGTGGTCTCAATCAAATTTTAGGTTTTTCATTATTAACTCTTTCAAAAACTAAAAATTAGAATTATGCATTATGTAGATATTTTGTTGTGATAAATGATGTGAGACCATACAATAATTTATCCTTGTGAAGGCTCCACAACTTCCAAGATAGCTTAAACTAAAATGGATTTTCCATGATTTAAAAAAAAAAGCTTAAATCTTGTAAAAATTAATATTACTTTTATTCCTTTTTAACAGTATTTAAAATTGTTATGTATAAGCCAAGAAATGTTATATATATATATATATATATATATATATATATATATATATATATTATGTCCTTCTTTATTTTTGTTCCGTGATAAATATATATTAATTGTGAGTATAAATTAATTAAAAGTTATGTGAGATATAAAAGTATAATTGACAAAATAATAATTAATATAATCTTCAATTTTAAAATCAACAAATAAATAGAAATAAATCCTTCCTTAAAGATTTTGACAATTAAAAAGGAACGGATGAAGTTTTTTTTTTTATTATTTTTTTTATTTTATGTTCCATAGTCAGTTAGTTTATTTGTTCCATGCACAGTGGATTCTAATATTTCTGCTAACAACTTTCGTATAATCAAATTTCCTAGTTATCAGCTCTCTGAAAAATTGTCAAGAAAAAATGACCGGAAGCAATAAGCTAAGGTTGCTTATTGAGAAAGTAGCTGATTGTCACATTCAAACAAAATACCTTATTTCGAGTTATTTAAAATTTCACCAACAATTTTTCTTTATACTTCAAATTTTATTTTTGATGCAGTTTTATTCCTTTCATTTGTTATTTCTATCTATGCTCATTAAATGTAATCGCAATATATTCACATTATAAAAAAACCTTTCATATTGTGATCTAATTATAAATTTTCCTTTATAATAACATGGCTGAATTTCATATTAAATATAATAAAATTCAATTTTAGAGTAATTTTTATCCGGTAGGCAATATACATATACACTTATAGTGTATAAAATTTAAACTCATGTATTCCAAAACAACTTACAAGTAGATAAATAAACTTAGGAAATACTATAAGTGCTGTCTCGATAAATTTTCTATAAATAAATATTTATAAAAGTAAAATAAGAAGGTAAAATAGATTGAAATTTTTCATAAAGTAAAATAAACTTATATATATATATATATATATATATAAAAAACCTCTTTTGGTCCCTGATAATATTTTTTTGTTTCAATTTAGTCTCACTTTAATTTTAGGGCTCAATTTGATCTCTAATAATTTAAACCATTGCAATTTGAGACTTTCGTCCAAATTATTTAAACGGGTTAACTCCTGCTGACGTGGATGTCAGGTGGATGTCACGTAAATGCATAAGTGGATGTCAAATGTCATGAATACACCTGGAACCAAAACGGCCCGTTCTGAAACCAGAACGACCTGTTCTGAAACCAGAATGGCCCGTTTTGCATGCACATGTTATGTGTTAATTTTGCAACTGAAACGGGTCGTTCCAAATGCAAATTTAACACAACATGAGTGCAGTAGAACGAGCCGTTCTGAAACCAGAATGAGCCGTTTTGAATTCAGAACGGCCTGTTCCAGAACGCTAACTTCATGCTTTTTATTGTATTTTTTTATTATATCTTTATTAATAAAAATATAATAAATAAAGAATACAATAAATTAATATTCATTTATGAATTAAAAAAAATCAAATAAGATAAGACCTTCCAAAATCCTTATTTAATTTGAACTTATCCAGTTCAAAATCTTGACTAAAATGCCGCAATGTGATTCAGAAACTGAAAACAAAAATTCAGAACATAATACTAAAAAAGTTCAAAGAAATTATTGAGAAAGGAAATCATCTGGGTAACGCTGAAGAAAACCCTAAACCACAAAAATTCAGGTTGTATCTCCTCAAGAACATGTTGTTATTGTTGGGTACATCGTCAATGACTTCAAGGCGAAACACCGTTTCGTTAATGATACACTGCACCGTCCTTAATGATACATTGTATAGCTCAAATGTTTAGCAATTGAAGTTATCAATCCCCATTAGTAATATTACCAAATATAGTGCTTGAAATGCTTTGTATTTTGATTTTTTTGTGCACGAAATTCTAGAACCAGAACGACCCGTTCTGGTTACACTGTTGGTGTGTTAATTTTGCATCTGGAATGGCCCGCTCCAGGTACAAATTTTACACACCAACAGTGTAACCAGAATGGGCCGTTCTGGTTTCAGAACGGGTCGTTCTGGTTCCAGGTGTATTCAAGTATTTTGGGATCCACCTACGTGGCATCTACGTAGTATCCACCTGACATGCACGTGGCCACCAGTTAACTCCGTTTAAATCATTTAGACGAAAGTCCCAAATTACAATGATTTAAATTATTGGGGACCAAATTGAGACCTAAAATTAAAGTGAGACTAAATTGAAACAAAAAAATATTATAAGGGACAAAAGAGTTTTTTAACCTAAAAATTAAAAAAGTTTAGTGCATTAATTTACGGGAGAAGCTCAAATAACTATACCTTTTTAGTTTTTTATTTTTATTTTCTAGATTAATTTTTATTTTCTTTATGTGTTTATGAAAAATCGTAGTTATAATTAAACTGGATTTATTTTTCTCGTTACAAAATGTAGTATTAAACACTAGTATATATACACGTAGATGTGCACTAAAAAATGGTGGGAATCGCAAATGGCGATTCCTTTCACATGACCGTTAAATAGGAAAATTTTAAAATAATAATGACGTTGCCACGATGGACCAACAAAGGCCCAATAGAACCCACACGAAAAAAAAAAACTAAAACTAGCCGTTATGGTGCTTACCCATCAAGTTTCTTTCGTTTCGATTCCCTAATTTATTGCCATCTTTTTTCCCCTTTCCAAACAAGTTCATTTCCCGCACCAGTGTTCCGATAACCGAAATAAAAAGCGTACCCATTTTGCTTCATCGTGCGATCAAGTTCCACCGATCCCAAAGTCGAAACCTTTGGAAGTTCTTTGTTGGAAAAATTAGACTCTGATAACAGAAGAAAAGGCATGGCCGCAAGAACAGTCGCCAAAGACATCATCACTCTTCGTGGTTCCGCAGCAATCGTTAGCGAGTTCTTTGGTATTCACATCCCTCCTTTTTTCTCTTTTCTTTTCTGCGTACTTGTGCAATTTTCAATCTGTTAGCTTTTGCCTGAATTTTATTTTTTGGTGATTTTTTTAATCAGGATATGCTGCCAACAGGTTTGATCATCTGAATCCTGCATTTTTATTTTTGTTTTAGTTTTGGGTCTTATTTTTCGCATTTCAATTATGTATGAGGTTGGAAAAGTTGT